TCTCTGTATAACAGTCCTAACTGTCCTGGAACTTACTTTGAAGACCAGGCTGGCCTCGAACTCACTGAGACCCACCTGCCCCTGCCTCTTGAGTGCCAGGATTAAAGGTGTGTGCCATCACCACCTGGCTAAGGAAAACTATTTCTTCTTAGCTATATCTGTACCAATATGCTTTCTACAATAATAATTAGCATGGAATCTGCTGTCAATTGTTTTGCAGAGGAGGGACAGCATGGAAAATTAGTGAAAGACTAGAATAATTCCAGTAACTGTCACAAGGTTCATTATAATGTACTTTGCTTTATGTGTAATTTTTTAAACTTTGCTAATAAATTTCCGAGAAAATCAACTACACAAAAGAATGTAATAAACATTTTCTTAAACTTCCTTACAACTTAAGGTATTCTGAAGGCGATTCTCACTGTGCAGTTATAAGATACAACTGAGCAATAGCAGAAAGGATCTGTGTTAAAGAGTTTTACCTTCTCCATCCTCGGTCTATAAGATCCTGATAATCCTGCACTGTCATGGAATGTGCCCACATGCCTGAAAAAGCAAGTACCATGTTAATTTGCACTGTCTTTTTAGAATTCTAAGTGCTCTTTTAAAAAAAGAAAAAAAAAGGTAAATTAGATCAGGTGTGCTAAGGTACACCTTTAATTCCAGTACTCCAGAGGCAGAAACAGGTGAATCTTGTGGATCTCTGCATTCCAGGCCAGTCGGGGATACCTAGTAAGGTCCTATATAAAAAAATTAATAAAAATAAAAATGGCAAACTTAGACTAAAATTCTAGAACATTCATACTGGAGTAATGAAAAATTTGTATGCACTTCATGCTGAACATTATACATACAACACAAACAAAAGTAAGATATATTATTCTTAAGATAAGAATGGTGACACAAACCTGTAATCCCAGAATTTAGGAAGTAAAGGCAGGTGGAGGCAGATGGACCAAGAGAGTTTAAGACCAGTCTCAACTATATAATAAATTTGAAGCCAGCCTGGGTAACATAAGACCCTGTGTCCAAAAAAAAAGTCAGGTGTAGTGGCACCCGCCTTTGATCCCAGCACTCAAAGACACAGAGGCAGTTATATCTCTATGAGTTCAAGGCCAGCCTTGGCTACATAAGAGAAACCCTGTATCAAAACAAAATCTATTCTAACTAAAGAATCAAATACATCAAAAGTGATTCAAATTCCATTTAACTGAAGATTAATAAACAGTCTCTCTGACAGAAATCTAGATCCTCCTTGGAATTGGTCTTCATCACACCAACTTTCCTTGGTATCTCCAATGAGCTAACACACTGGTCTCACCTATCTGAGAGCTGGCATTTGTTTACTCTCTATTACCGTGATAAATAGCATGCCCAAATGCAGTCTGGGGCAGAAAGGGCTGATTTCATCTTACAGTTTACAATCCATCACGAAGGGAGTCAGGCCAGGAACTGGAGGGAGGAATCTGAAGGCAGTGCCTCAAGGCGGCAAGCTGGAGGCAGGAGTCTGGAGACAGGAACGGAAGCAGAGGTCATGGAAGAACTCTGCTTACTGGCTTGCTTGGACTGCTTTCTTTCTTGTACACTCTAGTACCACCTGCCCATCAGTCACAGTGACCTTGGCCCTCCTACATCAATCACTAATCAAGAAAATGCCACAGCAGACTTGCGTACAGGTCAATCTGATGGAGGCATTTCCTCAGTTGGTTTCTTCTTCCCAGATGACTCTAGCTTGTAGAAAGCTGACCAAAAAAAAAAAAAAAAAAAAAAAAACCTAACCAGCACAAAATTATGTCAGTTCTAATAATTGTTATGCATAATATGTACAGCACAGGCATGATCAATAAAAACATACATAGAAATACTCATTTTAGGTTAAGTAAACGGACAGTAACTCAAATCCCAAGGGTACAAAAAGATGATGACAGGGAATCTGACATTAGCAATATTGTGGAATAACTATGAAACTATGGAGAGAAAAAGATGAGGAGAATTAACACGTAAAGGGTATACCTAAAGTTTAAAAAGACAAGGATTTTTTTCTTCCTTTTGTAAATTAAGGAAATTATATCAGAGATATGTATAAGAGCATACTTTATAGAATGGCATGCAGATTGGGGAGAAATGGTGTCAGAGTCCAATAGAAATGTCAGTAAACCAGTTCTTCCATGACCTATGCTTCATTCCTGCCACCATGTTCCTGCCTCGAGGTACCTGCCTCCACTTCCTGCCCTGACTTCCCTTCAGGATGGATTTTAAGCTGTAAGATAAATAAACCTGCCAGGCAGCGGTGGTACATGCCTTTAATCCCAGCACTCGGGAGGCAGAGTCAGATGGATCTCTGTGAGTTCAAGGTCAGCCTAGTCTACAGAGCGAGATCCAAGGCAGGCACCAAAACTACACAGAGAAACCCTGTCTCAAAAAAAAAAAAAAAAAACACAAAAAGATAAATAAACCCTTTCTGCCCTGATGTAGAATATTATTTTAAGATGTGTTACATTTGGGTTTGGGGATTTAGCTCAGTGGTAGAGCGCTTGCCTAGCAAGCACAAGGCCCTGGGTTCGGTCCTCAGCTCTGAAAAAAAAAGATGTGTTACATTTGTAGAGCATTTGTTTTAATGATGCAAAGATGTCTTGCATTCTTTTATGATGCATCTGTTTAACTCTGTGAAGCTGTGTTACTGTGCCTGTCTAAAAACACCTGATGGTCTAATAAAGAGCTCAAGCGCCCAGAGGCAGGAGAAAAGATAGGCAGGGCTGGCAGGCAAAGAGAATAAATAGCAAAAAGAGCAAGAGAACAAGGAGAGGAGGACGCTAGGGGCCAGCCACCTAGCCAGCCAGCCACACAGCCAGTAAAGGAGTAAGAGTAAAAGTAAAATAAACAGAAGAAAAGGGAAAAGTCCAGAGGCAAAACATAGATAGGATAATTTAAGAAAAGCTGGCAAGAAACAAGCCAAGCTAAGGCTGGGCATTTATAAGTAAGAATAAGTCTCTGTGAGTGATTTATTTGGGAGCTGGTTGGCAGGCCCCTCAAAAGAGCAAAAACAACCAACAACACACCCCAAACTGCATTTGGTCATAGTGTTTATCACAACAATAGAAAAACTAATAACTTTCAAATGGCAGTCACTCTCTAATACCAACAATTTACTCATCTAAACCTCAAATTAATCCTCTGCAGTTTGAGGCCAGTCAGGTCTATAATAGGAATATCAGTCACCCAACAGAAGGGTGCCCTACAGTGAATATTAAAACTGAAATGTTAGAAATTTATAATTATTTCTCTAGATGAAAAGACTTTTCTCCCACAAATCTTGAAACACAAAACGTTTATATTGGCCAATTACTGGGGGTGAGGAGGTGATAAGGTCTCCCTATTAAAGTATCAAATTTCAGTCATATTTACTGTAATATTGCCCTACAGATATTATAGTCAGAACATACAAAGTCTGAAAAAGAATAGTGCATCTATCACTCAAAGGCAGCCACTGTTAATACTCGAGGTGCTTCTCTTTGGGCCTTAATCCTCTCAGCTGTCACGTAAACCATCTGCATCCTGTTTATTTTATTTAACCCTATGCTGTAAGCATTTTTCCACTTAACTGGTCTTTCATAACGGTACTTCTAATGATTGTGTAACTGTCTACCCAAGACCACAGCTCACCTAATAACACACTGTTCCCCAATAAACACTTTTGTTGTTGCTGTTTCCCAAGACAGGGTTTCTCTGTGTAGCCCTGGCTGTCCTGGGACTCGATTTGTAGACCAAGATGGCCTCAAACTTAGGTAGAAACACGCCTGCTTCTGCCTCCCGAGTGTTGGAGCTAAAGGCGTGAGCCACCACTGCCTGGCTACCTAATAAACACTTTTAATGAATCTGTAAACCAGCACACCATACTCGACTAAATCACCTAACAGTCTTTCAAAATGCACAAACGTCTAACCTAAATTTATATTTTTCACAATTATCTCGTTTTCCACCTGTTGGATTATCTAAATCGTTCCTCCTACATTCCGTGTTTGCCAATCATGACACATGAGACATTAAGTACGGTATTCAGTTTACAAACAAATCTTCCTTAAGAAACCTGAATCCTAGCCAGGCGGTGGTGGCGGCACACCCCTTGATCCCAGCACTTGGGGGGAAAGGGGGGAAGAAGCAAGCGGCGAGTTCGAAGCCAGCCTGGACTACAGGGTGAGTTCTTCCAGGACAGCCAGGGATACACAGAGAAACCCTGTCTCGAAAAAAACCAAAAAATTAAGAAAAGGAACGAAACCCGAATCCTGACAGAACACCGTGTGTTGACGCTATTGTGCTCTTCGAGGTGGGTTGACAGAATGGCAGGGCTGAGTCCCTGATTAAAAAAAAAAAAAAAATCCAGCAGATGGAGGCAAATAGAGCCCCTGGTTCCCCGTGTGTCCTCCCAGGCACACTCATCCAAAGATGGCAGTGCGCAGGTGTGCACGCACACGCCCCCTCCACACAGGCAGCTGGAGGCCCCGGCTCTCCCGCCCCATCGGCGGGGGGGGGGGGGCGGGGGGGGGCACGGGGATGCCTCCCCGTCTCCCTGCCTCGCTTTCCGTCTCGCAGAGGCCAGCAGCTCTTCGCTGACCGGAGCGAGGGCGGAGCACACCCGGGGTTCTTCCCGATGCTCCACAGGCGGCGGCCGCCCAAGTCCCTCGAGCGTCACCACGCAGACCCCCCCCCCCCCCCCCCCGCCGGCCCAAAGCCGCGGCTGCGGGCTTCCCACGCCCGCCGGCCCCGCTCGCTCACCATGGGAGAGACTGCCCGACTTATTCTTGCAATAGCCACAGTGGAACAAGGACCGGTCCTCAAAATACTCTACGAGGCTGGGAGAAGGCGCGCTCCAGGAAGCCATCGCCTCGGCCCCGCCGGCTCAGCGCCACCCAGTCCCGCGCAGCAGCCTCCGCCGCCGCCGCCGCCGCCGCCGTCGCCTCCACCACCCCACAATGCCGTGCGCGCGCCTCGGCAGATCGCGCGAAGCCGCTCGAACGCTCGCGGGCCGGAAAGACCGGGCAACCTTCGTGCCTGACGCCGCCCGCGCCATATTGACTGAGGGCAGTTGTCCCGCTATTTCCGTTCCTCCTCTGCGAGGGGCGGCTATCATCTGAGACGCTGAGGTGGGAAGACCGAGACGGGAAGGAGGGCAGACTAGGGAGAGACGAACGGGACCGGGGATGCTGGAGTCCGGTGACCAACGGCCTCCACCCCGCGCCAGGGACCTGCCGGGACGTAGCAAGAGCCTGCCGGGAGGCGGTCACGGCCCCCCCCGGACGGCGGGACACTCACCACACGACGCCTTGCCCTCCGGGGACTCGCAGTAGCCGCAGTAGTAGCCGGCCTTCAGGCCCTTGTACTCCACCACCGAGGCCATGGCCGCCGCTGTGGGCTTGAGGGCCGGCCACGCCTCTCGGAGCCGGGGCCCGACCTCGGCAGGGCGCGGGAGCCCAGGCGGGAGGGACGGGAGGGCGGCGGGTGCCGGGTTCGCGCCTCTCCGCCCGCTCCCAGGACGGGCCTCTGGACGCCAGCCTAGGTGGCAAGCCCCGGCCGGGTCTGTGCCCAGTAGGTTTCCTTGCTCGATCAACAATCCTTATCTCTTCCGCGAGTTATCAGCCCGTTCTAGAGATATGGAAACTGAGGTTCCAGAGAGGGATTCCCCCAGGTCTCGGGTGGAAAGTTACCCTCTCGCAACCGCTCCGCCTGACCACCTGAAAAGGATGAGCTGGAGTTTTTTTTTTCCCAAACCAGCTGCCTTAAATGCTATAGGTAGAAGAGCAGAAACACTCCAGTGAGGGTACTAGAGTTGAAACAACTCTTAGCAGGAGCTAATTAGCTAACAATGAAGTGCCACATATCTTTTCAAGGGAAGGTAGAAATCCAGATGGTGGTTTATGCACAAAATATTTAAATATCACTGAAAAAGAATTTCTTACTCTATAGGCCAAACATTTATATAGGCTGAATTCATCCCATGGGTCTCCTCCAATTTTCAACCAGTTGTAAGGAGCATGTTTTAGGGAATCAGGGTGTGAGGCAAAGTATAAAAATGAATGCATGTTTCTGCCGTGATAATGTTCCTTAGCCTTTCCCTCTGGGTACAACAGTTTAAGTCTTGTCTGGCATCAAATTTCCACAGTCCACAATAACATTAATTCCCGTTTGCAGTGTCTAGAAAGTAAAATCATGAAACAAACTTTTAAAAATGGTTTGTGCCTGTCTTGCCTGCAAATATCAGATATGTGTGCCACCTTCATCCAGTGCCAGAGGGGGCCAGAAGGCATTGCACCCGCTGGAACCTGCCTGGCAGACAGTTCTGAGCTACCTACCATACATGGTGCTGGGAACCAAGTCCTCCTCCGCCTGCCACTGAGCCATCTCTCCTGCTTGTGAATAAACTTTTTCGACTGTTAATGGAGCTAAGGATGGACTAGAACTCTGTACACCCCTGCGCCAGGGTCCACTGTGCTGAAATTGTAGGTGTGCACCACCGCACATGATATTAAATATATACTAAATGTATATTAATATTAAATATATAGACTTTTAAGTTTCAGTGGTTTTTGTTTTTTAGTTTTGTTTTTTGTTTTCTCTTATTTTTTTTTTTAAGACAGGGTTTCTCTGTGTAGTTTTGGTGCCTGTCCTGGATCTCGCTCTGTAGACCAGGCTGGCCTCGAACTCCCAGAGATCCGCCTGGCTCTGCCGAGTGCTGGGATTAAAGGCATACGCCACCATCGCCCCAAGTTTCATTGTTTTTTGACCCTAAGCGTTAGGGCCTAAGGTTGTCTGTGTTGGAGATGTGTCTAGTTAAGTTTTATAGTTCCTGGCCTGGTGACTTAACATTGCTGAGCATCATTTGTATCTCATACAGTTGTTAAAGAACCTAAGAGATGACCTTGCAGTGTATTAGGGTAACATTGGAGATAACTTGTTGCAGCTCAGTGCCCATATGTTCATGAAAAGTTTCATCTGTTTTGTTTTGTTTTGTGTTAATGGCAGGTTTAACTCTTGCCGGGCTGTTCCCAGAGAAGCTCTGATTTGAATAAAAGCAAGGACATGTGGATTGACTGAAAAAGGGCACACCATGCCCTGCACAGAAGGTAGGAAGAACAGCTTTTTGATCCTTTCTTAAATAGTAGCTCCCCCATCCCACACCCCAGAAATCAGTTCGCTTTTTAAAAAATATTTGTTTATTTATGTGTATGAGTGCTTTTGCTTGCGTGCGTGCCTGCGTGCCTGTGTGTGCCACTAGTTCATGTCTGATGCCAAAAGAATCCACAAGAGGGCATCGGACCCCCTGGAACCAGAATTACAGACAGCTGTGCTCCACCTTATAGATACTGGAAATTGGTCCCAGGGCCCCTGCCAGAGCTCCTAACTGCGGGACCATCTCTCTAGACCTTGGTTTCACTTTTTTTCCCTTTTGAGATAGGGCCTTACTATGTAGTTCTGGCTGTCCTGGAACTAGGCCAGACTAGCCTCAACCAGCTCTGCCTGCCTCTACTTCTAAAGTTCTGCAATCAGAGGTGTGAACCACCATGCCCAGTACTGGCGTCACTTTTTTTTTCTTTCTTATTTCAGTTATCCATAGTCAATTACTGTCTAAAATTATATAATAATGCCAATATGTCCAAAAGCATATAATATTCTCAAATAAACAACTCAGAAGTTTTAAGTTAGGTGTCATTCTGAGTCAGGTGATGAAATTGCTTCTTGTCCCAGCCTGCCCTGCCTGGATCTTCAGTCTGGTACATACTAGCTACATGTGGCTACTGAGCACCTGTGTATAGCTTATATCACTGGGGAACAAAATTTTTAGTTTTATTTAAATCTGAATTTTCCAAATACAGTTACCAAATACCAAGCAGGAAAATGCCTCCAAAAAGCTATACACAGGGCTGGTGAGGTGGCTCGGAAGGGACAGCCATTTACTGCCAAGTCTCATCCTCCACAGATTTCATCCCTGGAGCCACACGGGAGGAGGAGAGAACTGACTCCCACCAGTTACTCCCTGATCTCCACACTTGCACAGTGGTAAAAATGTACCGCCATGTGTACACAAGCACACATAAAATGAAATGATTTTTTGTCAACACAACCCAGAGGTTTATCATACTCAACCTGCAGGAAATCAAAGAAAATAATGAAATAATAAAGTGGAAAAAAAAAACCCCACCTATATTCTGTATATCTGAATTCTCTTCAGAAACCATGGAAACAAGAATGAAATATTCTAAGTATTCTAAGAAAAAAAAAACCTAGAATTCTGTATCTAGAGAGCTTACCCTTCAAAAATGAAAGAAAAATCCAGACTTTCCCATGAAGAAATGTGTTTCTGGTCTGCCTGCTTTGCATAAAATGTAAATTCTTTCAGGAAAAGGAAAACAATGCAAGTCTGGTGATTCAGATGTTCTAAAGAAAGGAAGAGCCCTAGGCAAAGAAAAATAGATGTAAAATAATTTGTTTTTAAATCTGAATTGCTCAATCATGAAATAATAGCAACTTGTATTCCGTAATTATAGTTTATGGATAAGTAATGTGATAATTCCAGCTTTGGAAATGAATGGCAGTAGGCTTCTAAGGATGTGGGCTAGGGCTGCAGATGCTCTATCACAAGGTACTGTAAAACCCATACAGTAGTGTATTGTATCTGAAAGAGAAATTGGATCCATTGTAAACATACACTACAAACCCAAGGGCAACCACTTATCTATCTATCTATCTATCTATCTATCTATCTATCTATCTATCTATCTATTTGGTTTTTCGAGACAGAGTTTCTCTGAGTAGTTTTGGTGCCTGTCTTGGAGCTTGCTCTATAGACCAGGCTGGCCTCGAACTCACAGTGATCCGCTGCCTCTGCCTCCCGAGTACTGGGATTAAAGGCATGTGCCACCGATGCCCGGCCTATGCCACCGCCACCCAGCCAGACAACCATTTTTAAAAAGAGAAAAGAAGTATAGAAAATATGCTAAAAAGAAAATGGGCCGGGCAGTGGTGGCGCACGCCTTTAATCCCAGCACTCGGGAGGCAGAGCCAGGCAGATCTCTGTGAGTTCGAGGCCAGCCTGGGCTACCAAGTGAGTTCCAGGAAAGGCACAAAGCTACACAGAGAAACACTGTCTCGAAAAACCAAAAAAAGAAAAAAAAAAAAAAAAGAAATGGAATCATTAAATAACTAACTAAACTTAAAAATGCAGGAAAAGAAAGATGATACTTATATATGTGCAAACTTATATATGCGTATGGTGACATGCCTTTAATCCCAGTACTCAGGAGGCCAAGGCAGATAATTCTTTGTGAATTCAAGGCCTGCCTGACCTACATTGAGAGTTCAAAGCTTGTCAGTGCTACATAGGGAAAGGTTACCTTAAAAAAAAATAAAATGAAAATCTTATAGAAAACTAATAAATATGACAACAGTCTAACCAATAATTACTTTAGATACCAGTGACCAAAATACAGCAATTGAAAAAACAAACTGTCCCTGGGCAGGCACAGCTCCATGACAGGGTGCTTACCTAGGATATAAGAGGCTCTAAATCCAATCCTGGGTATACTACCCAGCCCCACAAAAAAATAAACCCATAGATGTGGTACATACATGGACTCCTATCAGCTAGCAAGTAGAGGCAGGAGGAAAATGCATTGAGAGGCCTGTCTGGTCTACATAGTGAGAACTTGTCAAAATAATAATAAATGTTATCCACAAGAAACTCACTTTAAACAAAAATAGATGGATGAAAATGATGAGTAAAAACATCATGCCTTGAGAAACTTTAAACCACTAAATCAGTTTTGTAGACAAGACCCAATAGCAATACAAATTAGGGATAAAGAGGAATATTACATAATGATAAAATGACAAATTATTCAAGGTATAACAGCCTTAAATATGTGTGCACATAACAACAGAGTGGCAAAGTATATGATGTATATACTGATAGAACTGCAAGGAAAAATATGTGAATCCACTTTTATTGTTGGAGATGTATTTCCCTCTCAGTAGCTGACAGGTCCAGAAGAGAACTGGTTGAAGAAATTTAAAGAAAATCAGCCGGGCGGTGGTGGTGGTGCACACCTTTAATCCCAGCACTTGGGAGGCAGAGCCAGGCGAATCTCTGTGAGTTGAGTCCAGCCTGGTCTACAAAGTGAGATCCAGGACAGGCTCCAAAGCTACACAGAGAAACCCTGTCTTAAAAAAAAAAACCAAGCCGGGCGGTGGTGGCGCACGCCTTTAATCCCAGCACTCGGGAGGCAGAGCCAGGCGGATCTCTGTGAGTTCGAGGCCAGCCTGGACTACAAAGTGAGTTCCAGGAAAGGCGCAAAGCTACACAGAGAAACCCTGTCTCGAAAAACCAAAAAAAAAAAAAAAAAAAAAGAAGGGCTGGAGAGATGGCTCAGAGGTTAAGAGCATCGACTGCTCTTCCAGAGGTCCTGAGTTCAATTCCCAGCACCCACATGGTGGCTCACAACCATCTGTAATGAGATCTGGCACCCTCTTCTGTATACATAATAAATAAATAAATAAATCTTTAAAAAAAAAAAAAAAAGAAAAGAAAAAAGAAAATCGTAGTTGGATTGAACAGTATAATCAATCAACTGGATTTAATTGACACCTATAAATTATTCATCCAACGAAAGCAGAATGAATGCATTCTTTTCAAGGTCACACAGCATACTAAAATAGACTACATTCTGGGTTATGAAAAAGTACTTTAAATTTGAAAGAGCAAAAATTATATACAATATGTGCAGTGAAATTATACTAGATTTCTAGAAAACTCCAAACTAACACTTGTAAATAACACTTAAAGAGGAGTATGCACACCTGCAGTCCCAACACTCAGGAGACTGAAGCAGGAGGATGTGTGTGAGTTTGAGCCTACGCTGTTATGTCAAACAGCAAGTTCCAAGAAAGCCAAGGCTACCTTGTCTCAAAGAAAGCAAGGTAGCAAGCTTAGCAAGCTAGCAAGCTTGAGTCAACTCTCAATAAAAATTTCAAAATATTAAGCTACAACTTAGAATTTGTGAGATGCAATCAGCCACATTTCAAAATTTAAAGCATTAAATGAATACATTACAAAAGAAAATTTTAAATCAATAATTTACATTTCTGCCTTAGGAAATTAAAGAGAAAATTAAATCCAAAACTAGGAGAGATTAAAAATTAAGAGCAGAAATCAGTAAAATTAAAGAAATCAAGAGAGAAAAAAATCAGTGAAACAAAAAAGTGGGTAAAGGTCAGTAAGTTAAAAATAGAGGGGCTGGAGAGATGGCTCAGAGGTTAAGAGCACTGGCTGATCTTAAAGAGGTCCTGAGTTCAATTCCCAGCAACCACATGGTGGCTCACAACCACCTATAATGAGATCTCGTGCCCTCTTCTGGAGTGCAGGCATACATGCAGGCAGAACACTGTATATACATAATAAATAAACTTTTTTAAATAAGTAGATAGATAGATAGATAGATAGATAGATAAGAAAGAAAGAAAGAAAGAAAGAAAGAAAGAAAGAAAGAAAGAAAGAAAGAAAGAAAGAAAGAAAAAGAAAAGAAAAAATACCAGTATCATAGGTAAGGAAGGGCAAGAAACACAAGGCCCCAGGGTTGATCCCCAGAAGAGAATAATAAAAAATTCCTGCTGATCCCATGGGCATTAATGAGGTAATAAAAGATTATTAATACATATTTGTGCCTAAATATGACAGTTTAGAGGAAACAGATTCATTTCTTTAAAAAAAAAATACTGCCCTAGCTAGATTTATGTCAACTTGACACATGCCAGTCATCTAGGAAGAGGGACTCCCAGTTGAGAAAATGCCTCCATAAGATTTGCCTGTAGGCAGTTCTATATTGTCTTTTCTTAATATAGTGATTGACGTGGGAATGCCCAGCCAACTGTGAATGATGCCATCCCTGGACAGGTGGTCCTGAGGTGTATAAGAAAGCAGGCTGAGCAAGCCAGTAAGCAGCACTTCTCCATGGCCTCTGCATCAGTTCCTACCTCCAGGTTCTTGCCTCGAGTTCATGTCCTGACTCCCTTCAGTAATAGAGTTTGACTTAAAAACTGTATAATAAAATAAACCTTTCCTCTCCAAGATGCTTTTGGTCATAGTATTTAACTCAGTAATGGAAACCTAACTAAGAAGTAATTGACCAAAAATCCTAAAAGACAAAATAGGAATAGGCCTATATTGAGTCAATAATTAATGACCTTTGGGGGGTAGAAAACTCTGTGCCTGTTTTAGTTTAAATATGAAATGCCCCAACCCCCATTGTTCATGTTTATTTCAGGTTTCTCACAACTATGAAAAGCTAACCCAAGGCCCAAATGGGTTCACTAGTGAGTTCTACCAAATATTTAAGGAAAAAATACCAGTTCCCTGCAGGTTATTACAGAAGAGAAAAGCAGATGAAATATGTTCTAACCGATTTCAAAATGCTAGCTAGCATCATGCTAGGAAAACTATAGACCATTATTTCTAATGAACATTCATGCAAAAATCAGCAGAATATTAGTAATCATGTCCAACAAGCTTTTAAAAAATGACCATTAGCAGATGAGGTTGATTTCAGGTACACAAAGCTGACTCAACATTACAAAAACACCAAATATAACTCGTCATATCAACAGGTAAAGAAAGAGAAATCATATGACAGTATCAGTAATAAAGAACTCATTCATGAAGAGAACTTTTGTCAAACTAGGAGCAGGGAACTTGAACATCTACACACACACACACACACACACACACACACACACACACAAATCCACAGTACTAGGTGTGGAGGCAAGAGGAATTTCTGAGTTCCAGGACTACAAAGAGTTTCAAGCCAGCTAGGGCTGCATAGTAAAACCCTGTCTATTAAATAAAAAAAGTTTATTTTTTTAAATCCACAGTAACAAACTAGATAGTTTTCCATAAAATTAAGAACAAAACAAAGAGGCCAGCCTGGTCTACAGCACAAGATCCAGGACAGGCACCAAAACTACACAGAAAAACCCTGTCTCAAAAAACGGGAAAAAAAAAAGGCCTTGATTCTGTTTTCACAAGATGATGCCTTTTAGCACTTTATACAGTACCTGGCTAGTAAGTTTCAGGTGTGATAATACAGTGTGATCAGGTTCTGGGTGTGTAGTTTTTGGCTAGTAGCACATGACTGATCTGAGTGACATGGTTTTCTATAAAGTTTAAAATGATAAATGGCCGGGTGGTGGCGCATGCCTTTAGTCCCAGCACTCCGAAGGCAGAAGCAGGTGGATCTCTGTGAGTTCGAGACCAACCTGGGCTACAACGTGAGTTTCAGGAAAGGCGCAAAGCTACACAGAGAAACCCTGTCTCAAAAAACCGAAAGAAAGAAAAGAATGATAAATGATCATGTTAGGTTTAGAGAGCAAGTAAATATTAAAATATATTTTAAAATTTAAATAACAACTTTTATGATCTAATATTTGAAGTATGTTGATTTTTTTTTCTTTTTTTTTCTTTTCTTTTCTTTTTTTCTTTATTTTTTTTTTTTTTTGGAGGGGAGGGGTCCCAGACAGGGTTTCTCTGTATAACAGTTCTTGGCTATTCTGGAACTCCTTTGTAGACCGGGCTGGCCTTGAACTCACAGAGTTTCACCTGCCTCTGCCTCTAGAGTGCAGATTAAAGGCCTGAGCCACCACTGTCCAGCATGATTTTTTAAACTTAAGATACACATATCTACTTTCATAGCCTTGCTTCTGATGTCTTATTGGGAGCCTGCAGTTTCAAGTACTTGTTTGTAGACAGCATATTTTGAGAGGGACAGATTTCTACTAAATAAAAAGCAAGGTTGTAATTGATTACAAACTCTTCTTTTCACGTTGTATTTCTAAGAGCTAGAAATATCTCAATGGACTACAGGATAATTTTGTTGGGTGAATAATTTCCACACATAAAATGTCATGAATTGAGTATGATTTTAATTAATTTGTATTTTAACACTGAGTTATTTTCTGCTTCTTTGTCTTTAAATGCTGGTCAGTTATAAGTTAAATACTGTGACTAAAGATACAGTAAAACCTCTATCTAAGCAGTATTTAGCTGAGTGATATACCAGCTAATATATGACACCATATGACTGGACCATCAGCATATACATCTAGCCTCCAACAACACAGATATGTATGATCACCAAGTATTTCTATTGGTTCCATTCACATGGAGTTTGTCCAGTTTATGTTCTAAAGCACAAAAATTGAAAAGATACCCTTGGTGCTATTAGAAACTGTTTTTGACTACATATACTGTAGTTGAATTCCTATGTCTTAAGAAATGGTTCCTTCTAGTTGCTGACAGCTCACACAAAGGGAAGTCCATTTCCTGCCAACAGACTATATCGTCATATACCACCTCATAGTAGGCTCCTTCTGTGATAGTGATGACACACAGAAAGTGGTGACTGCTTTGCGTTGCCTTAGAAATCAACCTCAAGGATCAACAGTAGGTAGTTGAAAATCTGAATTGAGGGCAGAAATTCCGTGGTTAGAAACCAGTTCTTTGCAGAATAGAGAATGAAAAATCAGAGCTCAGGGCAGAAGGGGCTGGGAGGAAGAATGAAGAGCAAAGATACTGTTCATGGAGCTGGCAAATAGCAGGACGATGGCTGAAGGCAAGAACACCGTGGAGAAAGAGCATCAGAGTGCAGAGCTAGCACAAGTGAACACAGAGCCTTTGAGGAGACCATGCATTGCAAGACTACCACCGCAGAATGGACCGCCAAGAGCTGTCATCTCACAGCCGCCCATGGTAGCAGACTCAGAGTGGTTTGGTCTGAGTGCAGAGGAACAGTAAGTGTTCCCTCCATTTGGGATATAGGCAAAAGAATATATGTCTGTATCTGGGAACAGATGGAGTCCCATAGGACTCAACTGCCTAAGAAACTAACACTAGGACCACTAATGAGTCATTACTTTCATGGCTTCCATTCTCTTTGCCACATATAGGGAATAATGAATATGAACCTCCTAAGATTGTGTAGAAGATTAAGTAATTTCATGTAGGCTTCTGTAACATTACCTAGTGTAAATTCAATAAATGTTGCTATGGAAACATAAACTCTTAAAGAAGTAGCAGAAATGAAATTAAAGACAGGTTGTGTTCAGTTCTGTTATAAAAACCTTTTATTGCTGATAAAACAGTGTTTATGCTTAAGTTGACAAACAGCACTAATTTGCTTACTAATCAGGTTAATGTGACTTTACTCCATCCTAAAGAACAATTTTCCTGTCATATTTTTCTTCATAAGTTTTAAAACTTGTCTTCCAATTGTTTTAAAATCTATTTAAAATGTAAATTTTAGACCCAGGCATAGTGGAGGCAGAGGTAGGCAGGTTTCTATAAGTTACAGGACTACATAGTGAGAACCTGTGCTGTGGAATAATCCTTCTATACACTGTGAAAATGTGTTGCTCTCATTGTTGATAAAAAGCTGATTGGGGCCGGGCGGTGGTGGCACACACCTTTAATCCCAGCACTCGGGAGGCAGAGCCAGGTGGATCTCTGTGAGTTCGAGGCCAGCCTGGGCTACCAAGTGAGTTCCAGGACAGGCGCAAAGCTACAACTTAAATTAGCACATTTCTATTCAACTATGTGCTGCCCCGAGGCTCGTTTGCCTCATCTATGAACTTCCCATGTTGCTTCTTCCACATCTAGCTTGCAATTCTTCAAACTCTGCCCTTCTTCTTCCCAGCATTCTCTCTGCCTTGAAAATCTTGCCTAGCTATCAGCCATTCAGCTTTTTATTAATACTGAAAACGACACATTTTCACAGTATATGGAAGAATTATTCCACAGAATTTCCCCCTTTTTGTCTAAATAAAGGAAGTTTTAACTTTAACATAGTAAAATTATATAAAACAAAAAGTTATCAAGTAAGAATTAGTTACAAGGCCAGGCGGTGGTGGCGCATGCCTTTAATCCCAGCACTCGGGAGGCAGAGCCAGGTGGATCTCTGTGAGTTCGAGGCCAGCCTGGGCTACCAAGCAAGTCCCAGGAAAGGCGCAAAGCTACACAGAGAAACCCTGTCTCGAAAAACGAAAAAAAAAAAAAAAAAAAGAATTAGTTACAATAGCCAGTCCACTTGTATTTGACAAAATTAGAGAAAATATTAATATTATCTAATCTCTGTGAATCTAAAGTTTTATACCTAATTCACTTTTTTTATAACTAAGGAAAATTATAAGTTTAATTATTTAGCCTTTAACTCCCTCAAAAGATTCCAGAAGGGTGTAATGCTACCTAATCACAGGGACATCTGGCTGCTTGGACAGTCAACCAAAGTTCCTCTGTAACATTGGGGCATCCAACCTTGGCCTACAGGCCTAGTATATCTGACAGACATTTCTGAGAAGCAGGGAATTTTGAAGGACTGTCCTACCTTGTCTTGGCAAAGTTTGGCAGTCACTTTTTTTTGCATCCTACTGGTCCTGTTTGGACAGTATCCTATCAGCAATTGAGGCAAAGGAAGCTTCTTTGCACAAATGGCTACCTTTACTATAAAGAAAGTAAACTCCATACAGAGGTTCTTCGATGCCCATCATCTTCTTAGAAGTAGATTGGTGCTGTTGAGATCAGATGTGTCTCACTATCATGAAAAGCCTTAGGTTATTAAACTTATTAAATGCCATATTCTGTAGATCTCTGAAGTGTTTGAAGACTATCTATCTAATATATCTGTGTATGACCTTGAAAGAAATACCTGACTATAATTTTGACTATTATAAATGACTATTAATCTGTATTTAAGTATAAATTACATTTTAAATGAGCTGCTAAATTCAATACCCCAAACAAGAGTAGAAGCATATATACAATATAACAAACTTAACTTTAAATTTCTATCAATAAACTAAAATCCATACCAATGTAAAATATTTTGAGATTAATGGTTGCTTTTTGGATTAAAGTTGATTCAATAATCTACCCTTTTTTTTCTATCACTCCTATATCATATCCCCCTTTTCTTTCCTTTAGAAACAGATCTTTGAATTTAACTTCTTTTTTCCTGACTGTGACCAATAACAACTTGTAACCAGCCACCCTTAAATGATAACAGACATCCATAACCCATCTTTTGAAAATGTGGGTGTCATTTTTTTATAGATTGCTTCCTGTTGTTTGGGGGAACTGGCATCTTTGGGAGGGAACTTGAGGAAATCAGGATAATGATTAAGTTTTGGCTGGAGTAGTCTGTGAGGCTGGTCCATCTCAGCCAGCAGCCTTGAATCTGTTTTGGATGCAGAATTCTGAGGAAACTGTAACAGAGGCATTTTGAGATACTGGATCACCTGGGCCATCCATTTTCATTGGTGTCTGGTCCCCTTGTCCTGAAAATACATAAACTTTTAAAAGTAACATACATGTATGTGTTATTAAACATGTATATAACACACATGTATAAACTGTGTGTTGTATACAAGTTAGCCAAAAATGATTTTTTATGTTTGAGCAGGTGAAATATATATCGCATGTCTTATGGTTCTTCTATTTCTTTATATCTGCAGTCGGGATTTTCAGGGAGTCTGCCTCAATCGAACCTGATCATCCTTAACATTGAATGAACCCTAGCCTTTCATTTCCTGTGGAAATAAAAACATAACCTCTCCCCCAAAGCAACACACCTTTTGACTTCCATTTTGACGTAAAGATATTTTTTAAACATATAGGTTGGTTTAATCCAGCAGTTTTTATAATCCAGTGTGTCTTAGTAGCTGTCATTCCTTCATCAGCAATCAGAAAATTCAAAGACAACACAGTAACATACAGGATCCAAACTCACTGTATATTTTCCATCTTTGCATGGGTTTTATCCTTTATATTACTTTATTCTTTCTTTAAAGACTTTATTTTTTTTTTTACAAATCAGAAATTTTTTTCTGTCTTTTCATTTTTCTTTATTAAGAAATTTTCTACTCACTCCACATACCATCCACAGATACCCCCTCCTTCCTCCTCCCACCCCTCCAGCCCTCTTTCCCAAGCCACCCTGCATCCCCACATCCCCCAAATCGAGGTCTCCCATGGGGAGTCAGCAGAGCCCAGCACACTGAGCCTAGGCAGGTCCAAGCCCCTTCCCACTGCACCAAGGCTGTGCAAGGCGTCACACCACAGGCACAAGACTTTATTATTTTTAATCTATTTTTTTCTATGACTGTCCATACCATTCCCTTTTCTCTCCCAAGTCTACGTACATTTTTAAATACACTGTAACCCATTTAGAGGTTTTTCCCATCTAGATCTATCTTTACTGAACATCTGTGTTGTTCTGTCATCACATGAAACCAGTCTTAAACTGCTATGTTCGTCACCGGCACTGCTCAGCTTAGTGGATGGCGGTAGTGCGTGGTGGTTGGCACCTGGCTCCTCCCCGCTTGGTTCCCTGAGAACTTAGCCTCATGGCAGAGGTATGGGGGGGTGTTTACCACCCCAGCTCTCAGAAGGTGTTGGGTCCACAATGCCACCGAGTAGCATACGGCCCCCTGCTCATAAACCCCATGTAAGTGTTCTGTAGCAGGGCCTCTTAAAAGAGCCACACCCATGTTTGCGAGGTGCCTCTTAAAGGAGCTGTGTCTTTACAAACTGTCTTAAGAAAGAGAGAGAGACAGAGATAGAGAGAGAGAAAGAAAGAAAAAGAGAAAGGGCTAGAGAGGTGGCTCAGCCATTAACGGCAAGATTAACAACCAAAATAAATAATCAATTTTAAGTGATAAGAAAAATGAACTAGGCCAGGCAGTGGTGCCGAACACCTTTAATCTCAGCCCTCGGGAGGCAGAAGCAGGCGGATCTCTGTGAGTTTGAGGCCAGCCTGGGCTACAGAGTGAGTTCCAGGACAGGCACCAAAACTACACAGAGAAACCCTGTCTCGGAAAAAAAAAAAAACAAAAAAACAGAAAAATGAACTATTATAGTGAAGTATCTATTGTGGGAAATCTAATATATATTTATATGTAACTTCAATTAAAAGTTATATTTGAAATTTTTCATGTCAAAACTTATTTTTTTTACCTACTTACAGAAGTTTGTGGTATTTGAAACAGTAACAGCAACTCAGTCTTTCCAGTGTTAAAGTTGTTTCTGATAGTTACAACCCCAAACAAATATGGCTCCTTCTGTAGACTTTAATCAAAAGTACAAGCAGGCCTTCATTCTGGTGAAGACCGAAGTTAAACATACACAGAGTTCTACCTGTTGGCAGAGAGAAGGGCCTTCTGCTACCTATGAAAAGCAGGTCCCAAATCAACTCCCTTCTGCAGTTCATTCCAGAGCTTGTTTCCTGACATCTTTCTCCAATCCCAGTATCATTTCTCTTTTCTCCTAGATTGGCCTGGGCTAAGTGTTCTGAAGACCCTCGGATTGCAGTAGGTTCCTATTCCCCACTAGAAAAGAAAATAAAGGTGAGGAAATCCATTTGCCATGAACTTTGGATTCTGTGATAAAATCATAAAGTTTACTGGAGGTAAAAAGGGCCCCAGCATTTTAGGGGAGAATGTCCTGACTCATGCTTAGTTCCACATTTGGTTCTCTGAGCAGTGCTGGCTGGACACTCTGGCTATAGTCATTAGTTTGATGGGCTTGGGAAGACAGGACAAACATGTGGACTCAGATAACAATTGGGCTAGCACCCTGTGGTGGAGGCAGGAGAATTAAAGGAAAACATGAATGAAGCTGGAAGTGATAAGATTCAAAAGGTAGAAACTGGAGAAAGAAGCAAGCAGAGAGATCAAATAAACCAAGTCTGCCAGGTAGTGGTGGTGCACACCTTTAATCCTAGCACTTGGGAATCAGAGGCAGGTGGATATTTGAGTTGAGGCCAGCCTGGTCTACAGAGTGAGTTCAAGGACAGTCAGGGCTACACAGAGAAACCCTGTCTCGAAAAATAAGCAAACAAACAAAAAACAGTAAACAAGCAAACAAACCAGGCCTGAAGTTGAGAGGTGAGAGCAGGGAATTACCTTCTCAGTGTGGCTTATGAATCGTTCAGCTCTCCTCCTACTCTAAGTCAGTGCTTGACCCATACACAGGGAGGCATCCATATAAGAAAGGCTCATCGAGATCATGCTCTACCTTACAGACAGATGAGTAAGGCTGGTAAGACTAGTAAGGCTAATAAGGGAGCCCTAAGGTAGGGAGACAAAAATACAGGGATATTCAGCAAATGAGATAGCAGAGGGGTAAAAGCCACGGCTATGAATGAAGTAAGAAAGAGTCTCTCTTGTTTGAAGACCATTTGTGCTGAGGGGTACTTTATGCTGATCTAAGTGACCCAGTAGGCAGTTCTGATGATACAGAAAGGAAACCCTTGAAGCTCAACAGGCACAGGTGAAGAATTCGCTTCTGACAGACAAGAATGTTTCCAGGACAAAAGCAGGAAGGTGGAGTCTGGGATAGAGGGGTGGTGGCTCTGATGGTGGGAAGGGGTTGCTGCTGGGTGCTTTCATTTTCACAAGGAAGTCTAAGTCAGAGTCCTCACCTAGGACAGAACATGGTCTGGGTGTGGGGGGTAGGAGGGTAGGAGGCTTAAAGAGGGAGAAAGTCAGACCCAAACTAGGTGTGGTATATAGGAGTGCCAGACATTGAGAGCTGTACTATGGAACTAAAATAAAGGACATCCAACTTAAAAAGTTCTGATTACTCCCTCTCACAAGCGTTTAGGTGGCACCCATTCTTCACGATCGAGAAAACTGTTAGTCCAGGAGTTACAACAGGAGAGCAAAACAGTTGATAAACTTAAGACCATGTCTTTTGACTTGCGGTTTGCTAAAGCAGATTCCTACTACTATCAACAACATCAAGAAATGATCAAAGAAGCATGGAATTATACACCAGATTCAGAATGGAACATTAACCCAGAGGAAGAGAAGAAGTCAAGAAGAAAAACACCAGACAATGAAAAAAAATGGGACTATCTAGTATCTGAGAGAGAAATAAATCACATAGAAAAGCACATACTCAGAGCTGAGCGGGCTAGAGGCCTCAGAGACAACAAATACAGACTACTCCCTGAGAGAATTCCAAGTGAAACACTTTCCCCAAAACCATTAATACAAGAAAATGAAAAGAATAAAAATATCCAGAAAACATACAAAGCTGTACCCCAAAAGCCCAAAGTAGCATGGGCAAAGGAGCAGATGAAGCGACATAAAGACCGAATGATTCGAGCGAGAGAACTCACAGAACAGAAGAATGATGAAAAGAAGACGCAAAAATGCCCCAGCCATGGCCGTCCTCTCTTCAAATCACGAGTGAAGAAGGAGGGAAAGAAAGAGTTTGAAAAGGTCACCGCTTATCCTATCTTCCAGCCTTCCCAGGAAAAACTTATCGAGGTGACTATTCTGATGGAAAAGTCGAAAGTGGATAAAGTGCAAAAACCACTCCAAAGAGAGCTCTTGAGTATGCCACCATTTCTGAAAAGTCAACTAGAAAAGAAAAAAAAGCTTCAATTATTTCCTTGATTATCGTATTTCTTTCTTAGAATATTTTATAGTAATTAGTACAATGAAATCATGGAAAACAGACATCTAAGGGGAAAAGGGCAGCTCTAGACATACATACTGGAAAAGCACGGTATTGAGGCCACAGGTTGTTCAGTTCCATTCTTATGGTACTCACGGGTCAGGGCTAAGGAGTAAGAACATTACATGAGGACAGAATGGCAGCTAATGGCATAGGATTGGGGAGGGGTGCTCTATAGTATTTTTTGGTGATGGTTGCATGCCCCAATGATTTTAAGGCACTGAATCATGTCCTAATTGGATGAGTTGGATTGTGGATGAACTCTCAGCAAAGCTGTTCTGACGACCTGAGTTCAGATCCCCAGAACTCATGTAAAAACCAGACATGGGTGCACATGTCTAATCCCAGTACTCTTATAGCAAGATAGAAGGTGGAAACCAAGTCCACCGAAACTCATGGACAGTAAGTAGTGCACAGTACAGCAGCAAACAAAAGAAACCCTGACTTAAACAAGGTGGCCGGAGAGGACAGGGACCCAAGGTTACCCTCTAACCACCAGATGTGTACTGTGGTACACACGTGCCCTTAACACACACATGCCTCATATACACACATACATAAGAATAAATAAAATCTTGAAGGCAGAGATAATCACTAGGAATTGGCAAGAGGTTTGAACAGACAAAACAATGGATACTTCATAGATGTCTGGGCAGAGCCTGAGCAAGATGGACAAAAAGACTACAAGGAAAGTAGTGACTGGTTAAGGATGGGGGAAGGGGAGGAGTTTACAGAATGAACTTGCCTGTGAAATGTGGTAAAAATATTGGTACAAAGATTTTAAGATTTGAGAAATTGTTTTATTACATGTTTTTAAATGGCCAATAATCACTTAACATAGCTCTAGCCTCTTTAAACACAAAATTCTGAGACTCTTCCCTTATAGTATAAATGCATTATGGTATAACGCAAAGGAGTAGAAGAGTGGGAGGGAGCCAGGGAGAGAGAAACTCTGAGAATGTAGATTTCAGGGGTAAAAATTCACATCAAATACAGCATTATCCATTGGAGTTAATTTGGAAAGCAACTGGTAAAAGTGGCATAAAAAGAAAGACTCAGAAGATTGGTGGGAAAGGGGCTACTCCACCAGGGTTTTGAAACAGATTTCCAAATGATTTGTATTAAATTCTTATGTATTACTGTGTGTGTATATCATGGGAAGGGGGCATGTCACAGAGCGTACATGTGGAGGTCAGAGTTGTAGAGCTGATTCTCTCCTTCCTTTACATGGGTATGAAACATTCATTCCCTGAACCATCTCACCAGCCGCCAAGTGTTGTGTTTTTTTTGTTGTTTTTTTTTTTTTTGAACAGGGTTTCTCTGTATAACAGCTCTGGCTATCCTGGAACTCACTCTGTAAACCAGGCTGGTCTCGACTCAGAGACCCACCTCCTCTGCCTATGCCTGAATGCTGGGATTAAAGGCGTGCACCATCACACCTACCCACCCCCACTCCCCACCCCCGCCAAGCAATTCTTATTTAAAGAGGTAAGATGGCAATCACAGGACTTTGTATTGATTGTTTTAGAGAGAGAAGCATGGTGAAGGATAAACACCAGACAAAGTAGAAGAGATGACTGATAGGGCTGTCTCCTGGGACAAAAGTACCTGCAAGAAGAGGAAAATTAAATATAGAAAGCTAGGGAGAAGGAACCCAGAAAGCATCCAGGGCCAACTAGAAGGCCCAACATGGATGAGCAGGGCAGAGGGACATACAGGAGGATGAGCCCACACTTGGTGCTGCCAGGGGCACAGTCTAGTCTGACTTGACAGAGGATAAAACGGTGTCTTAAGTATAAAGCATAGGCCAAGTCACATCAAAAAATATTTGACCATTTTTAACCTACAAAAAACCAATTTCATTTGGCACAACCTATCTGTTGGCTTGGCCAGCTAATTTTATAACTAAAACATTAAAAAACAAAACAAAAAAAACTATGATAATCTATGAGGCACTGACAATCTAATTAAAACTTTTATTGGAACAGGACTAGAAAAAGGAGGACCATAACCCCCCCCCAAGAGACAATAAAGACAATTATTTGTGAATATGGCAGTGAATTTTCTTTAATCAAAGACAACCATGACAAATCCATTAACTATCAAAAGCTACATTTTACTGAAAACAATCTTCATCTTTAAAAACATTTAATCATACATATATACAATATATGCTGCTTTCCTCTCAGGATTTCATTATTGCCTTCAGTTCTAAAAAAGAAAATGAAATAAAAGATAGCTGGTTAACGGCTGACCCAGTATACACATACATGCAATCTAGTGACTAGCCCCTTGTCAGTGAGGAGGACCAGGTTAAGCCACTGTGCTCGGATAGTTCCCTTTCCTTCAAGATAGTCTGACAGAGGTAAGCTATCTTGAAACAAAAGAAGTTCCGTTAATTGAAATAGACACTGAGGTTATATAAAGTACTTTAAAAGCTCATTTTAGTTCTCAAAATGAGAGAAAATTGAAGCTAAAAAACTATTAAGTTCTTTTATAGACAGACTTACAGATAAAATAAATGTGTACTAAAATGAAATGGCTCCACAAGGTTTTAAATTGAGGGGCAGGGCCAACAGATTCAAGGTCATTTCCATCCACTGCTATCTCCAGTACAGAATACCACATCATTCACTACGATTTCAAAATCTTCCCCTCTGTAAGAAATGTTTTTTTCCCTAGCATTATTCATTTCAGAAATGTCCGTTTACGAGCATCCCTCGAAGGTCACTGGAGCCTTATCTTCCTTTTCTGCTTTGTGTCCATTAAATAAAGACATCTAACAGAGCAGCGAACGACGCCGGGGAGGATTACATATCACTCATCCACGGTTAGGTGAAAACAGACTGATAGAATTCTCCTGCACTGCTCTTTCATCTACAGACCTTAAGAACACCAAAGCAAGGAATCCTGAGGGACAGCCACCAGCAGCAGCCTGCCTCCTGCCTTCCTTACCAGTTACAGTTCTAGGAATGGGACACTAGAGGGAGGCAAACCCCAAACTTCACGGGAATGAGGAACTACTATAGCTTGGGTTGCCTAATAAAATTTTAACACAACCGTGTGGCTGTCATGTAGGAAATGTTACCTTCAGCTGGCATCAGGCACTTAGTCGCTGCTGGCTCTGACTCAGAGAGATCACAGGCTCAGAAATCTCAAAGGTCTTCACAATCTCCTGGTCGGAAACAGGAACATTCAGGCAGTGGGTTTATAGCAGACGAAGTCACAGTCAGAACTGCACTGCAGGGTCTTACCTCCCAGTCACGGTAACTCAGGGCTATAATGCCTTGACTCCTAATTTGCGTGTTTTGTTCAATTCCCTCATTTTCTTCGTTAATCACTGGCTCTGTTTGAAAGACAAAGTTTTCAAGCATCATCAATCAGAACAGGTAACTTTATAGGAGTGAAGTTTGTCCTGAGAAGAGACTTGTATGTACTTCCCAGAATGCCATGCGTACCTGTGCACTAGCCATTCAGCTAAACCCTAGTGAGCCCCATATGAAACTGAGAACATGTATCAAGTAACTGCAATCAAAGTCCTAAATGCTCCACCCACGACTTTAGAGGGGCAAGACTAACAGGTAAGCATGAAATAGCCCAGAAACTCAAGGGAGGGCGCTGGCATCACGGACGAGTGGTTGGAAAGAAGGAAACCACACACAGGACTCCAATTACAAACACTACTAAAATCTATCACAGTTTATCACTTTGTTAATCTTTACATCAGACAGTGAATTAATGATATCAATCCATCAGTTTTAAACCACGCTCATATTTTCAGTTAACCAGGAAAGGTACACTATTTGAATTTTTGTTTATATAAATCTTATTAAAATTGGGAACTTATTAGACATGGTGGCACCTGCTTTTAATCCCAATATCTAGGAGATGGAGACAAGTGGCGCTCTTTGGGCTCAAAGCCAGCATGTTCTACATAGAGAATTCCAGGTTAGCCAGGGATACATAGTCAGACTGTCTCCATCACAGAATTTCTATGGTTTAAAATAACAACAAAAGCAGGCGTGGCGGCACAAACCTTTAATCCCTGCACTCGGGAGACAGAGGCAGGTGGATCTCTGTGAGTTAAAGGTCAGCCTGGTCTACAGATCAAGTTCCTAAACAGCCAGAGCTCTATATTGACAGAGTGTGTCTCCAAAAAGAAATCAAAACCAAAACAAAACAGAAGCTTGTAATTCTAGCACTAAGAAGACTGAGGCAGGAAGATTGAGAGTTTAAGGCCAGTCTGTACTACATAGCAAATTCCAGGCTAGACTGGGCCATAGAGCAAGACTATCTCAAAAAACAAAACAAAAAAAACCCCACTTACATTTACTCAAATAAAATACATTTCATAAACTCCTTAATATTTTTTTAAAACTAACTTCTATAAACATAGTGTAATTTACCTATTATTGGTAGTCGGTCTTGGTCAAGTCTTATTCTTGCAAAACCATCCTAAAACAAAAACATGGTTTGAAACAAACACCAAAATCTAATGCATGAAAACACTTAGAAAAATCTGTACTTCGGACAGTCAAAATTTACCCAAACTTACAGACAAAACTTTTCTCACATCTTTCTTCAAAAAAGATTATTGCTCAGGTTTCAAATGAACTTTTACTGGACAGATTCCACATTGACTTTATTATTATTACTACATTGATTCTTTTTTTGGAATGGAGTGGCACTATGGTACACAGATGGAAGGCAGAGGACAACTTGTGAAAGTTGGTTCTCTCATTCCACCGGGTGCATCCTGGGGATCAAACTCAGGTGAGACTTGGCAAGAGTTTTTACCCACTGTGCCAACTCATCAGCCCTCAATCCTAGAAACTCTAAGGAACAACCGTCTTGTTCTTTAACGATTTATGCATATCCTGTCATATACCTTCCACATTTTATTACACACAATTCTATCCTTGGGACCACTGGCAAACATGCCTTTGTTGTTTGAGAAAGTACTTGGATAAATATAAGCTTCTGTCGGGCTGGAGAGATGGCTCAGTAGTTAAGAGCACCAACTGCTCTTCCAGAGGTCCTGAGTTCAATTCCCAGCAACCACATGGTGGCTCACAACCACTTGTAATGAAATCTGGTGCCCTCTTCTGGCCTGCAGGGACACATGCAGGCAGAATACTGTATACATAATAAATAAATAAATCTTTAAAAAAAAAAAAATATAAGCTTCTGTCTAAATTTAAAAAGCCAAATTCATCTTCCATGTTTAGGAATGCAACATGATGTAAGACTCGAGTCTTAATTCAAACATCTATGGTACATTGATAGGGTTTTGTTTGACTAGTTTTAAAATTTTTCACATTTAATCAGCTATAAAACTACTATAAAGCCCTCCCATAGACCCTTTATTCATATTCCCCAGCTGTTTGGCCACATTTACTTGACTGCTTTCTATATTATCACATGAGAGATGAGGGTGACTGCTAGGACTGTCTCCTTCTGCTTCTTCAGGGTCTGTGTCTTGAGAATAAGCTTATTTTTATATAACACGAAAACCTCAGGAAATGTACCATACTGTAATAATTCCATATAGTTATACCATTATACTTGGAACTAGAAGTGTTTCGAATTTGGGACTGTTTGCATAGATACAATGCGGTGTCTTGGAGATGGGAGCTGATCTACACATGAAATTCATTTATGCTCCATATATACCTCACACTGCCTGAAGGTCACTTTATGCTCTATTTTTAATGGGCCTGCTTTTCAGTTGTGACCAATCATATGCAGTAGCTGTGAAATTTTCCAATTATGTTCTCATGTTTCAAGTTTTGGAGCATTTCAGATTTGTATTTTTTTTTTTTGGTTTTTTTTCGAGACAGGGTTTCTCTGTGTAGCTTTGCGCCTTTCCTGGAACTCACTTGGTAGCCCAGACTGGCCTCGAACTCACAGAGATCCGCCTGGCTCTGCCTCCCGAGTGCTGGGATTAAAGGCGTGCGCCACCACCGCCCGGCTCAGATTTGTATTTTTAAAAACTAAAGGCAAGCCATAAATTTTAGTTCACCTAACACACCAATTAATGTTCTGTTATAATGGACAAATACCTTTATCAGCTTGTGATTTTTAAAAACTAAAGGCAAGCCATAAATTTTCGTTTACCTAACATACCAATCAATGTTCTGCTATAATGGACAAATACCTTTATCAGCTGTGTATCATTTTTAAAACATGTAAAAGATGTTAGAGAAATCTAAAACCTTACCCGTATAATGAAGGAAACATGAAAGATGTTTTCCACTGTACG